AAAACTAAAAATGCAAAGCAATATTACTCTTAGATAAACGGGAAAAAGGTCTCTGTGAAAGTAGGTCGCAGGAAATACAATATAGTGAAATGAACAATAATAGTGAGGGTTGCTAACTTATCTCGTAGTTTCATAAAACAGGAAAGCCGGCATGAAAATTACGATATGTTGCATAAACTTGATTAAGCTCGCTTAAATTTATGTTACTCATAAAGTACATGCCACATTGAGTTTACAAATAATCTTACTTCTAATGTTAAAAACGCGAATATTTGGATGAATGGATGATTAGTTGATTGTATAGAAGGTATCTCCAGAACTGCTTTCTGAATGGCATAAATGAAGAGCCTCGAATAACATTTAAGCTATATATTATATTTTTATTAATTCCGCTCGGACGGTGTCGCGGGCGTCAGCTAGTGTGAAATAAAATAAATTTAGACTAAAAACTTCAATAGTTAAGCATTTTTATTTTAAATCATTTTTATGGCATAAAAATACAGTACACTTTTTTATATTAAAGTTGTATCAACTAAAAGGATTGTATTCATTTTTATTTGTTGAGGTGTACATCTGTCCCTGACCGTGCATTCAAAACTATTATCGATTGAATCGGTTTGTGGGACAGACATGTCACCAATATGTCGAGACAATGTCTAGCAAAATTTCATTTTACAATTATAAAAACATTACAACATTGAAATATAATTATTGGTCACTGAACAGTACCATAGTGCATTTTTAAAAAGATAAATATGCACTATGGGTTTGCTTAAGTAAGAAAAATGACTTAATATTTAGCTTAGTTTTAATCAGTTAATAAAGTTCTCTACATTTAGAGTTTTAACATAAGCTCGTTCTGTATATAGGTGACGTCATGGTATATGCTTTTGCATGTAAGGGAGTCCCTTGAGATTTTAGCACAGAAACACCGAGTAAGCTATGTATGCGTCGCAATGAAAGTTTTATAAGATGTGGAATTCTGTAGCATTTTTATTTTACTTTTATCGCGCTATATATGTGCATTTATTAGCAATATTATGCAGTAAATAGTTAAATAGTGGAAATTTTTGCATTTTCCACTGCCGAAAAACATAAAAAAAAAATATTTTCATTCCTCTAATTGTGAAAAAGAGATAACAATATGTATTTCAGATCAATTTAATTAATTACAATTATCATTCCGCGTTATTGATTTTTAATAAAAAGACTTACGTTTTTAAAATATCACACGAGGAAGTTGTTTCACTGATATAAAGTAACCGCAACCCATAAACATTCGCAAGCACCGGAAAAATTGCACTTGCGTTACCAACTTTTATAGAAGCAGGTAAACGGAAACGAATAGGAAAGTGATTTAGTTTCCAGTCGCATGAAAATTTCCTAGTGGTAAAGTTTTATTTTGCATTTTTTTTGAAATAGCGTGTAGTTTTTCCAATCAAATCATATCCTAAGTTCCTACGAATGTATGACTTTAAGATGTTTGAGAATTAAGGTACACGCCCATTGAACGCATCGCATGCGCGGCTCGCAAAGGATTTTAGTTTGCTTTGTATGATTTAACATAACACCGCGCCACCCGCATCGAAAGACAAAAGAAATCCGTTCAATCCGTGCGTGCGGTGCGTCCGGCACGGTCCAATGGAATCGGATTGGTAAATTGACATCAAATAACATTTTAACCAAATTAAAACTACAAAGTTACGTAATACGATCGGTGGAAGGATTTACAAGGATTAGGTCGAGTGATATTCTTCTAGCGAATTGATGTGGAAACTTTGCCATCTAATCGGAGTTTTCGGTCTCAAACTAAACGTGCCCACTGACGTAGAACTAATCAAATGTATTCGGAATTTAAAGATTTATCGAGTTTATTTTTAATTTATACATCAAATGTATAAGGCATTCAATATCAAAAACCTTAAATCTAATGCTAATTGCCAAGTTATCAATATACAAATTCAATGAAAATTATCTGTGATAAATTGTTAAGTTTTGCAGTTTTGGTTTCATTACTACGAATAACTAAAGAGATTCTTTAGAGGAAAACACATATTAAATATGAATTTTAGAGTTGTCCTATAACGAAAGTCGTTGCATATTTTTGAGCGCACAAAGCATTGTTTGTACCTTGTCGTGGTATTTAATCAACAGAAATTCTTGGTCAGGAAAATACTTAAGCTCTTACTTGCAAGCTCGTGCTTAATAAGTAGGTGCCTTGTACTTGTAGTGAATTTCCTTAAATTCAATTACTTACAATATCTTTTACAACATGACAACTTGATTTAAAGTAGTTCTTTTTGTAACAAAGTATTCTCCTTAGTTGTAAATTATAACTTACAAATATAATAGTTTTCTATATTTTATAAATATTTTTAATTTAAACTCGTTCGTTGTTAACGCGGAGAATGTGAAGACCAGATGAATTTGTAAAGCCAAATTGTAACACTTTATCAAACACAATTGTAGTTTATCTCAGTTAAAGTTGAATTGGTAATAATGTTGACCAATTCTAGTAAAATTTGTTACATGATATAATAACAAATAAACAAAAAAAACTGGAAATTTTTCAACGAATAATTTTATCTTTACTGTCGTTTATTTCAACGATTCTTTTATTGTATTGGGTTTAAAATATTACAAAAGTAAAATCCATTTTAGGAACGTAATTTTTAAAGTTTTTTTTATACTATATTTTGTTTAAGAGTACAGCTTTGAATGTTTATCGTTTAAACAGTGAGCGGAGCTAATGATAAATAACGGCGTTACACTGCAATTTACCGACATTATCGTGTAAAGTACAAACATTTGCCTCGACATATTACACATTTTATTTTTACACTGACATTTTTCCACACAAAGCAACGCGTAACCTTTTTGACCATCCATTATTCTCTTTTGCTTTTTAAACATCCCTCATCCTGTCGACCGACGTCAATTAGAGTGACGTTATTGTTATCCTTTCGTAATATACGAGTAATGTACCTATTGAAAATAATTGCATTCTTCGGTAACATATTTTTAATTGACGAGCGACTCAGTTCTCCCGAAATTAAAAAAAAAAAACATAATTAGCAGCCTATGTTCTTCCACTATGTTCTATATGTGCACCAAATTTCATCGAGATACATGCGTCTTTCTCGAGATGCCTTCTAACAAACATTCATCCATTCCTACGCATTTATAATATTAGCAAGATAATTTTGGTCTTCGTGAGACTGTATCAGAGTTTTTAAAGATTTTCATTGTTATCTGCCATACATAAAAACAAACTTAAATACGTACGAAAACTCTCGGCGCAAGTAAAAATGTCTATACCTCTCACGGATAAAGTCGTTGTCTTTAGTTAGTTAGCATATAGTACCAGTTTAAACCAGTTTTCTTTACTAAACTACTACTTGTATTACGGTACGTCTAAGCTGCATGTTTGCTAGTCATACAAGATAACTAGTGCATAGAAATTGCAAGTTTGCCACGCAAATAGTTTGTCGTGACCATTGTGTTTAAATTAGACATTTTGCTAGCAAGTCCCTTTCGCGAATTCTTTGTATAATTCAATATTGTAAGCAACTTTTTCACTAGCATAAGTGACTATACAATGTACATGTAAAACGTTTTATTAAAAATGTAGACTAGTATTGCAATATGTAGACGTAGTGGCGCTTTGCCTACATTTACACGTGCAGGGAGTAATGTACTTCTGTAGTTGCTCGTCCAGTCGTCGACTCAAACGGAATATTATATTAGACATCGTGAAAATTGAAGTATTCATGTCATACGTATGTAATATTATAGCCATCGCACTCCGTAGACTTTTAGTCGCTCGGTTTAGTGCTTTTAAAGCTTGTATTAACAAAGGTAATGGTTAAAAATATAAGATTTACTTTTATGTCATCACTAGCTGTTCCCCGCGATTCCGTTTGGCGGGATTAAAAAATAAATAAGAGTCGATTCACAGACCAGTTTTCCGTTTTGGAGGAGTATGGTAACTAATAATGTTATATATATGATTTCTATTATCATCAGCCTGTGTCTGCCCATTGCAAGACCCTTGTTGTGCAGGAGCCTCCCCATTACCTTTCAGTGTATTCGGTTATAATTATTTTGTATTTCAATATAAATTAATCGTAATCAATGTATAAAACGGTGTTTGCCAGCCAAGCGTTTTATTTAATATGACACGTAAGGCGTACGGGGAAATTATTTGTGCGCCCCGTATATCCTTGCAAGCCTTTACTTAATAGGTAACCGAGCATGTTATTAATTTTCTTGTAAATGATAACGTAGGATATAAAATGATGTTAAGCAGTATAATATAAGAATAATTTGATTATGTTCACCTTTTTTCTTCTTATGAATAAATTGTAGACTGTACGAGATAATTTTAAGGGGTTAACAGATAATACAAAATTAAATAGTCTGTGTTGATTAGTCACCTTTTATTCATGACATCAATAAACCACGAATCCTGTCAGTGCCTTAATTATGACAAACATGACAACAGATGGGGGTAATGAGGGGTGGCATGTTGCATACACCTTAATATGTTTTTGAAACAAGCGCTAGGCTACTGGAAATGTAAACAATGAAACAAAGTAACCAGCAGCACTTTTCATGATTGAAAATATAAAAGTGGACACTTTCCTTTATCGTGGTGATATCTCTATATAGTGATTCTCGTCTATACTAAATTACTTAACTAATTTTAAAGAATGAGTTGTCATTCTATCTCCGAAGTACTCATCATGGGTTTTTGAGACCAAGATTTCTGTATTAAAAACATACCGTTGTACTGTTATTATCTTTGACGAAACAGAGAAAACAATATGTTTTAAACGGGCGTCTCAGAAACTCACAGTTAATAAGTATTTTTAATAAATAAAAGATAATATGATTAAAAGAGAAGCATGATTGAAATGACGCATGAAAGATCGATTTGAAAGCCGAGACATGAGTTAGATAAAAGCATGGATGACAGTTTATTTTTATATTGTTCACAGAATTGGGAAGGCAGAACAGAGACAGGAGGGGATGGTGGCGACCTACCGCCGCCGGCGCAAGCACCGCTCGATGCTGTGTGGCAGCCAGTGGCCAGCACTAGGTAAGTGCAATCTAGTAGCTCACTTGCGGCCGATGTGACCAGCTCAATTGCATATTCTAAAACTATACTACAATATATATACAAAGCTTTGGACATATAATTATTACTTCATACTTTGTGCCATAAATTTAGACATTTTTGGATGGATGTTGAGGCCGAATAGTATAATTTAATAATTTTAATCAACTATGTAAATAAATGAACGTAAATTGAATAAACAGTAATTCCCTTTGTTATATTTGCTTTGTGGTAATATATTTATTTAAATGCGTTGATTTACTGCTGCGAGAGGATTTATTGATGGCAATAATCCTTTCAGTGGTTCGACAGAAATGATTGCCCTTTTAACGTTGAATTTCAATTATGAATATATATATATATATATATATATATATATATATATATATATATTCAATTAAAATTATGATAATATTTCGTCAAAATGATTCTTGTAAATGTCGTAATACAACTATTATAAATATAGATGAATAAGTTTCAAGACAATATGAAGAGCTGCTCTTCTTTACCATCAATGAAATGACATTAAAATTCCATTTGATACGGCTTGTTATGCTAACCGTGAATTCTACTGCTGAGAAATCGATACGTACATAATTGAATTCCTAAAATGAATATAGGCAATAGGTTTAATTATAAGTATTTCAGCAATGGAAAACCCTTTATTAATTCTAATACTAAAGTAAATATGTATATACAGATTATAATTGATAGATCACAATTAGTTCATGAAATTATTGACATGCTGACATGCACAGAGCATATAATTCTTTGAATGTGCGTGACAGGATTTCGATCAACGCAGAGGTACTATATTGATATCTATATTAATGAATACCACAACTGTGTCGAATATACATTGTTCTGTGGGCCTATCACGAATATTTGTGATAAGTGGCATCGCATCGTCATCGACCAATACTAATATAAATTTTGTCGATGCGTGTGTGAATTTGTGATGATATCGGGCGTAAAGTACACCAAAAATCAATACTAATATCGACATAATTGATGATGACAATATGAACGCGTTTGTCACAAATATTCGTGCTAGATCCATTGGCCACATTTATTTATCACATTGCGTTTAATATTTTACTAAAACGTCAACTAGACTTTTATGACTTTAATGAATAGATGACTTTAATGATTTGATTTTAAGGATTCTTAATGACGAAGTATTGTGCTGAACATTGAAATCAACAATTGTACGAATGTGTCCCGGAGGCCTTATTTACTCCTCTTTACCTTCCCACCCTTTTTCTTATAATTAAAGGATGGAAAGTGGAAGTGGACTTTTCGGTTGAAAGGATGCATGGGAACGGAAAATATTTTCTTTCTGTGCATCCTCTCCTCCGTATGCAATTACGTATGTCTATGGGCAACGGTCACTTCGCTATTTTAGCGATTTCAGGTGGCCGCTCGCTCGTTTGCCACATTATGATAAAAAGTCACCACCTAGTGTAGAAAATTTATAGGTAGTAGGGATGAAAAATATCCAAGCAACTAATAAACTATTTTCTAATTATTATTTAATCATCATCAGCTCACTAAGAGTCCCCACTAAGGGGCTCGGAGCCTAGCCTGTCACGGGTGATTAATCATGGTGGTAATATTATTCCACACAATTTCTTTCCTAAAATTTCTTATATCAGTCCATCATTAGTTACCTTTTAACGTTGTTTAAGTATTTTGCTTAATTTTTAAAAGCATTTCCTTTAAATGCAGAACGTTTTTTGCTTAGAAATTTACTCGTTAAGTGCTAACTCGCCTCGCTTTCGAAATAAAATCCTGCAGGATTTTCCCGGCAACGGTATTACGGAATGTTACTGCAGGAAATACATTACTGGACAACGAATAAATCTCTTTTAACAAGTAATGAGTTTTTGTTAACGTTCATAAAAGTAATTAAGCTAATACACAAAAATGAACTAAAGTTAGTCTATGAAATTCTAGTAAAAAGGAAGAATGAATTTACATGCTTTTTTATTTTTTATTAATTAAGGCTTTTACAATTAATTGAATATTTATGGCCGTTTTTATGTTTTTTTTGGTAGGTATTTTGTGTTCTAAATTTGAATTTTAAACTTTTTACAAATCATATAGTGCAATATATACCATTAAGAAAACATAATTAGACATCTGTTAGTTTTAGAAATTTATCTCAAAATTAAATAGATATAAAAGTTTTTAAATAATTTAGGATTTGACCCTTGTTAAAAGTTGAATCCTCGTGCAGAGGCAGTGAAGTTAACGTCCGCTGAGTGTTAAATAATGACACTACGAGACACATGTTCTGAATCAATAACGTAACTTGCTTTGAATTTTGTTTATGTTTGAAGCACATTTCCCACTAAATACGTGTGTACTTATATAAAAGACGAAACCGATAGATAACGAAAAGTAGATACTTCTACTGGATAACATTTTCTTTGATTCAATAAGTAATGATGTATTAATTACCGTGAATTTCTGAGACCAAAATCTCCGTTAAAATATATTGTTTTCTCTGTTTTGTCAAATACCATGTTAGGGATGAATAGGGATAGCAGGGGTAATTTATACAGATGTTTTGTTCTCAGAAACCCATGGTTAGTAAAGCAAATAATCAAAACAAAAAACAAAAAAAATATTCAAGAAAAAGTGTGTGTTTCTAATACGGGTAGTGTTATGAAATAAGCCTATAATATTCTGGTTTACCGATTTTTTAAATTCTGGATCACTTTGCTTTTCTTGCTATTAAGAACTGAATCTGCACTTCGAGGGTTTAGTCAAGAGGCTCGTGGCTTCAAGAGCACTCGCCTCGGCACACCACTCCCCGTTTTCAAATTTCAAATCGTTGTTTACTTAATAAGCTAACATAAACATGGTTTATTTATTTTAATTCAAAAAAGACGTATCTTTGTCAACCAAGACCCTTGTTAGAATTGTAGGTAATTGTGATATAATAAGTGAAGATGATAATGCTAACTGTTGCCCGCGTCTACGTCCGCGCGGAACTTAAAAAAAACTTAATAAGTACAATATTATATAGTAACAAGTGTGCCAAATTCCATCAAGATCCAACAAGCTGTACTGGAGTTACCTAGTGACAAACGTCTATCCATCTAAACTTTCTAATTCAAAATATTAGTAAGATTAAAACGTCTCAAGCCAAAAGTTTCGTTAATGTTCTTAAAAAGTAATGAGAATGTTTCTCATTTATTGCAAATTTTGCTACATCTGAGAGCCTCATTCATCAATTAATCACTTAACACCTCAAATGCCATCGTTAAATCAATTAGTCCCTCTCACGTCTCTTTTCAATTTATCTAGATTTTATAATGAAACATCAAATCAAATGTCTCTGAAGTGACGTTGATCGCGCAAAGTGTTAGCAATTAAAGTTACAACAGTTTCCCGCTTTAAAACTTTTGTAATTAAACACTTAATTGGGTAACAGCAAGCACTGTTGAGTGTCATTGTTGTAGTCTCGGTTAATTTTAACAGTCACTTTTACCTATTCGTTATTGTTAACACGTACACTGAAAATCAATTATGAGTAATAATTACATGCTTTTTCTATAGATAAAGCGCATTTGATTGTTTTATTTGTACTCTATATTGCAATTTTCAAACTTAGCTTGATTCGATTAACAAAGTTTCATTAAGTTATATATACGTTTTTTAAAACTCAGCTTTATTCTCCTCGTAACTGCTTTTGAATTATGTAAAATAAAATATTATGGTGCTTTCAAATGAAATACTTTGCGTATGCTCTTTACGTAAACATAAATGAAATTGCGGTAAGAAATGTGAAAAGCTTTTGACGCGAATACGCGGCTCTCTTGTGACGCCTTCAATTGAAAGTCACTTTTGAAATCCCCTGAGGTAATGTTACTATTTTTAAAGAGTACATCAACGTAAAGTGTTCCTTTATTTTACATATTTTATAACCTTTCATTCACCTTTAAATATATGAATTCTAAATAGAGACATGCTCCGGATTTTTGTTAGTTGTAACCAGTTACATTCACAATTTTGTTAGTTAAAAGTTTTTCATTGTTTTGGTACACTAAAGTCTGTCGGTTTTGGGATATTAGCGTGAGTTTAACGCGAACAATGTTCGAGTACTATGTCAGGCTGTTAAAACTCATATGTATTGTATTCGATATAAAGTTTAAAAGCAAAGTTTATGAGAAATGAGTTAATAAATACACTAAAATACTCGAAATATGTAGTGTAATATTGTTCTTAACATTACGAATGTTACATGAATTTGTTTGTTTTAGTAGATTCAAGTTATATAGCAAATATATTCAGGAATTAAATTATTAATAATTAATTTTCAAATATAGTTTTTTAAATAACATTAAATCCATCGGAGGTACCCGTCCGAGGCGCTGCATTGAGCTTTAGAATATGCGCTTTGTAATCATAGCGGTTTTAAAATGAAGTCTTTTAATATTTCACTCAAAAGAAATCTCTCCGGCATCCGCGAGATAAATTTTCTTTGTTTCCGAGATGGAAATATTCCAAGGAATAGTTTTAAAAGATATTTAAAGCGGAAATTGTTAAGTATTTGATCCTTAAACGGAAACGGTTTGTTGATTTTAAATGGCTTTAGCTTTTTGAGATTAACTAGATTTTATTCTATAAACGGAAAAGTTATTTTATTCGCTTGATTTACTACTGTTTCATATTGCACCGAATGACTAAGAATTGGGTTTATGATTACATAAAAAAATAAAACTCTTATTGTAGAGTTCTCTTACTAACCGTACAATGCCTTTTAGACCCTAATGTGACAGAGTATAAATTTTATCTGAACGTAAAAAACATAGTGTAAACTCTTTATTAACAATCTATGTTAATTCCATCAAAGTCAGTTACAGTGAATGAGCAGCGTGCGTTTGCATTCCGCGGACGCTCTGAGCACTAAATGGATTTCAGTTTACAGCGAATTAAGCAATATGTTATCCTTTATACGAATCTCTCAGACG